GCAGCTCCTGCGGTTTTGGGGGCCAGGCCGTGCGGGCTGGTCACGTGTCAGTAACAGAATTGCTTGTGCCCCACTTAAGCGCTGGGGGGGGCAGCCTAAGCCCCTCCCCCAGCCCGCCTGGCCCGTGGGGCGCCCCTGGCTGCCTGTGCCCCGGTTACACAGGGTCTCCTGACCAGCCCATGCCCCTGTGGGTGGGTCCCTGGGCAGCTCTGCCCCCCAGCTACCAACACCCCCAGCCCCCTTTATCCCCTGCATGCTCTGCCCCACTCACCTCTATGCTTCCCCTAGAACACCCCCGCCCCAGCCAATCAGCAGCTGCTTCCCAGGGCCCCTAATTAGCTAAACCCTCCCTCGACCAATCAGAGACGCCCAAGCAGGGGTGACCACGCCCCCACCACCTCCCTGCCCCCCCGGCTCCCAGCCAATAGGAGTGCGCTGAGAGCTGTCCCGGCTGGCCTAACGGAACGTGCCGAAGACCAACCCCCCTCCAGCCCTCCATCCAATCAGGGAAGGGAAGGGAGATGATGTTCACAGAGGCTGGCCTGACAAAACGTTCCAAAGACCACGCCCCTTCACTTTCCCCCCCAATCAGAAAGGAGAGGGAGGGAATGACGTAAAAATAAGACGCGCCCTGCTGAAGGCTTCAAAGACCACGCCCCCGTGAGCTCCCATCCAATCACGGAGAGGAGAGAGGACGGAGGGCTGACACAACGTTCCAAAGACCACGCCCCACCCAATCAGGGAGTGGATGACGTAGGAGGTGGCCTCTGAAGGTGTGGGTCGAGGGGGGGCTTTGGGGTTCCCTAATGAGTGGGTGATGTTAGGGGCGTGGGCTGCTCCATGGAGGTATCCCAAGGGGCCCCCCCAGCACCTGTCACTTTTAAGGGAGATGGGGGGTGCCTCCATTCTCAGCTACCTGCACCCCTTGATTTTGGGGGGCCCCTCCAAAACCCAACTCCTGGGCTGCCGCCCCTAGAGCGCCTACGTGACTAGCCCTGGCTGTGGGACCGTGGGGGCACGGGTGCTTCCCGAGCCCTCCACGGTCAAGTGCTGCTGGGGAAACTGAGGCAGGCTGGGGGCAGAGCCGGGCACAGATCCCGGCGCGCTGGGGTCCCTGCCTAGGGCTGTCCCATACACCCAATAAGCCGCCTGAACCAGGTTTGAGAGCCCCAGAGGGGTTGGGGGGCAGGGGACCAATTTGGCAGCCCAGAAGCACAAGAGCTGGAGGGAAGGTACCCCTGGAGCAAGGCTGGGGGGCACAGGGGGGTTGGGAAAAGCTAGGCAGTGGGGCCTAGTGGGTAAATCACCAGCCAGGGCCACAGGAGACCCGAGGCTTATTCCCAGTTGTGCCATTGGCCTGACAGCGAATCCCCTCCCTGCGCCTCAGTTTCCCCATCTGTGAAACAGAGTTGAGGAGCAAAGCTGGGGAGGGAAAAGTGGGAGATTTTGGACCTTTTTCTCGGGCGGAAAATCCCAAAAGCTCAGGGGAGGGGGCAGAACCAGTTCTTGGGGCTCCCCCCCCAGGCCTGATTTTGGCATGAGAAGGGGGTGCAAAGCGGTGACCCCGGCCTGGAGAAACAGTCGCTCCAGCCGAGGAAGGTGTCAGAACCTGACCCGGCGGCCTTTTGTGCTTGGAAAAGCATTCGGTCGAACCTCCCCCCGCCCCGCAGCTCAGCACAGCACAGCACAGCACACGGGGACCCCCTTTGTGGGGGGCTGGGGAAGAGCCAGGGATTGTGTTAGCACGAGGGCCTCCCCGTCTATCCCCCTCTCAGCCTACCACCCCCCACACCAGGGAGCTCCCCCCACCCTAAGGCCAGATTGGCAGGGAAAAGCTCCATGCCCAGTTCCCCATCCCCCTGAGCCAGCCAGTCCCCCCATCCCCCCGCCCACCGGGGCTGGATGGGAGCCAGTGGCGTCCCCACCCCCCGTGACCCATTCCCTGCTCCCCTGAGCCAGGCAGACCCCTGCCCTTGGGTCAGATGGGAGCCCCCCAACCCCCCACTCCCGAGACATACCACCCCAATGACATTTTAGCCCAGAAAAATAAAGCTTTATTAGAAATTGTCCCATAGAAAGATTCCCAGACGCTGCCAGGGGCACCGCGGCTCAAACAGACAGACAGACGGGACAGAGCCCAACCCTGAGCGTATAGCAGCAATGGGGCACCCCATGCCTGTGCCCCCCATGAGGCAGAGAAGCCCTGGGGGGGTGGGGGCGGCTGGCATAACCCCAGTGAGGAGCTGTGTTGGGGGAACTCAGTGCAGGGAGGGCAGGGAGGAAGCCCCCATAGCCTGCCCCCCGTGTGTTCCCGGTGGGGGGGGGTACAGGGAGACCCCCACCCCAACCCTTAAGGTCAGAATGGATTCCATTGGGCAGTTTCAGGGCCAGGCTCCAAGCCCTAAAGCCTCAAGGAAAGGGCCTGGGGATCCAATGCCCCAGTGTACAGAAGGGAAACTGAGGCACAGAGCAGGGGGAGGACCTAGCAGTGCCAGAGATAGAACCCAAGGGCCCTGGGACTCCACCCTACCCCACCCGCTTTGCATGTAAAAGGACAAAAGAGGGAGGGGCTCTGAGATGTGGGTGAAGCCTGCCAGGGAGGGCGGAGTCAGTGCAGCCAGAGGGGAGGGTGGCAGCAGGGGGAGGGGCCCTGAGAAGTGGATGGGTCCTGAAAGGGAGGGCGGAGCTTGTAAACAATATTCCTGAAGGCAGCTGCCATCTATACTCCTGAGTGTGACAGTGGCCCCGCCCCCTTTTAAAGGCACAGAGGAGCTACAGTAGCCAGGCTTGGAGGTGGGGTCCCCCTGCTGTGAGGGAGGGCCAGGAGGTGGGACAGACAGAGCTGTGATGGGGGGATAAAGGCATGTGGGGGGGGCAGTGAAGGGGGCCAAAGTGAGGAGGGGCTGGTCTGGCAGGGTGCAGGGCAAGGTGGGAAGGAGAGTTTGGGAGGGGGTTGGGCAAGGGGGCAGGGCCAGGGGTTCTGGTGAGGTGGGGGGCAGGGAACTGGGGGAGCTGGTGTCGGAGGGGGTCTCAGACTAGCAGTGAACTGTGGGCGGGGCAGCAGCTGCGC